ACTTGTGAAGGTCCTCAATGGTCATTATTTTTGTTTTCTTGATGTTCAATATTAAGCCAGCCTTTGCACTTTCTTCTTTACTCTTCCTTGATAGGTGTCAGACATTAGGAATGGGAAAACTCCAAAAATGGTTGCAGAACATTTTATTATCCCTCGACATTCCATCTTGGACCTCAGAAAAGCAGTCCTTGAACAAACCCCCCCCCCCAAAAAAAAAAGCCAGAAAAGAAGATTAGGAAGAGAAATAGCAGAAGTGGGACATATCCACAGACTCCAGTCCATCAATGAATCAGAACATAAATAATGGTTTCCTGGTGCACTACACATATTATAACACTAGCTAACCTCCCAGCCTCATGGGGTTTTTCTTAGCCAGTCCATCAGGTCTCCTTTCTGGTTCCAATGTTTTCTGGTTCCAACACATTACATTCCATTATCCATTGATATGCTTTAGGCAACATCCCTCCCCCTGACTTTGTCCCCCAAAGACACAAAGTTTGGCATTTCTAATGTCATTCGCTCATCACACACAGATTATTTATATAAGTCTGTTCCTGGATCCTTCATTCCACTCCATGCAGCCGAGGAAGTAAACTGAAGTCTACGAAAGCTCATGCTAGCAGCTTCTTTCTTACAGTTAATCTCAAAGGTGCTTTTGTTGTTAACTGCCCTGGAGTCGATCTCGACTCATGGCAACCCTCTGGATGAGAGATCTCCAAGAAGACCCTCTGTCCTCCACTGCTCTGCTTAAATCCTGCAACCCCTTAATACTCATAGGGACCTCCTTCATAGAGTCCATCCATCTGGCATGTGGCCTTCCTTTCTTTCTGCTCCCCTCCACCTTCCCCAGCATTATTATTGTCTTTTCCAAAGAGTCCTCTCTTCTCATGATGTATCCAAAGTTCGACAGTCTCAGTTTGGTCATCTTGGCTTCTTCCAGGGACGTTTCTTGCTTGATCTGCCCTAGGACCCCTTTGTTTGTCCTTTTGGCTCTCCACTGGATCCTCAGCACTCTTCTCCAGTACATCATCATCTCAAATGCATTGGTTTTCATCCCTTTGCCCAACAAGCAGTGAGTAATACAACAAGGTACTTCCAAATACAAGAGCCAGCGTGCTGTCATGGTTTGAGCCTTGGACTATGATTCTGGAGACCAGCATGCCACTATATCAAACTGGTTCTCCAATTCCCATCCCACTCCCCCATTTTATTCTGGATTGTGCTTTGTCTGAAAATCAGCCCTACTTTCCACAGATGGGATATGGTGGAATGGGCATGACATTTCCTGAATATATATTTTTTTAAAAATGCAAACTATCAGCCTCTCTTATCTGTTTGATGTTTTCCCCTCTAACGCTCCCTTTTGAAATCTCTCTGCATTTCCTTTCCTCAGCCTCTTCCCACTCATTTTGCTTTTTATTTTTCCCCAGTGCTTACATTCATGTGTTAAGGAGGCTCAGCTTGCTGCCTGAGAAGCGTGCAGATACAATTACAGAGAGAGGCCCATGTCCACTGGATTTAAAAATAAGCTAGCATTATATGAAACCGAGGGCAGAGCATGCATGCTGCTTTTACTACCCCCTACATGAAAGCGAGACTCATAGATTTTAGAAAGCTCCTCCAGGATATTTAGAGTTTGCTCCTCCACAATCTATGATAACTTGATTATACCCCCATCTTGTACACTGATTATATTGTTTTCGCTACATAGTGGTCCAGCCTTTGAGAATGAATTCACTATTTGCCATGCTGATATGAAGCCACAGGTCAAAGTCCTGGAACTATCTGTCAGATTATCTGATACCAGCACCATCGCTTTCTCAGGATTGCTTTTGAGTTTAGCAGCAATCCTCATAGTAGCTGCAGGGAGGAGAAGGATTTTCTTTTCACTAGTAGGGTGCTGAATTATCCCTCTTGAAATCCAAAGTATTTGGGATGGGTTTGTCTTGAAGGGGCAATTAAGACTCATTCGCTTTACAAAAGACCTGACCCTGGTGCAGATGGCGTCTGATGGAATTGATTTGTTAATATAGATTGGCACTACATTTTGAACTTTTGCTAGTGGCAAGGCTATGGGGGATGAGAGATCCAGCATGGTGTAGTGGTTAGAGCGTTAGACTATGACTCTGGAGATCAGGGTGTAAATCCCTGCTTGGCCATGGCAAAGGATAGCCTTTAGAAGTTACACTCTCTCAGCCTCAGTGGGAGGCAAAAGCAAATCCCCTCTGAACAAATCTTACCAAGAAAACCCCACCTTAGGGCCACACTAAGTTGGAAACGACTTGAAGGCACACAACAACAACCATGGCTATGGGGACAGTCATGGCAAATTTTGCCATTGATTATTAGTTTAGCAGAGAGCCAACATGGCATAGTGGTTTAAGCATTGGACTATGACTCTGGGGACCAGGATTTGATTCCAAGCTGGGCCATGAAACCCACTGGGTGACCTTGGGCAAGTCACACACTCTCAGCCTCAGGGGAAAGGAATCGCAAACCTCCTTTAAAAAAAGCTTGCCAAGAAAACCCCAAGACAGGTTTACTTTAGGGTTGTCATACGTCAGAAACAACAGCTACAGCCTCTTCCATCAAATGTTCCCCTCCAGATGTGAGATTCGGTCCAACACATCTGGACAACAGGAGATGGAGGTTGATGTAAAACAGAGATGAGGTTGGGACATGTGGCTGTAACTCCCATCATCTCTCACTGTTAGATAGGGCTGATGGAAGTTGCAACCCCACAGCATTTGCAGATCCATACATACATCCACTTTTGGCATACAGGACACTGACTTGTAACTTTATAACTTACTCTTGTGGTTTTCCCCAATATATTTGGGTGGCATGTTTCCAGATGAGCCTTTTTATTTCCATGCCTGATTCACAGATTTTTACAAGGGTTCTACACATTCCTTCCATATTTTTCAAGACCGAAGCAAATGTCTTAAGGAGAGAAAGATGGGATGACTTTGCAAAGTGTTTTGCTTGGCGCTGTGTTAAAGTTTAAAATATAGTTTAAAATATGTGCTTTCCCTGTGGTTTCATCCCTGACTTTGTAGTACCCAGGGAGCCGTTACCTAAAACAAATGCAACAATTTCTTTCACTTATTAAAGCCACTGAAGAGTGGGAACAACTGAGAAGTTCCTTTCATTTTGCTTTTCTTGAGAAATTAACAAAATTTGAACACTTCTTCATATTCAGGATGGAAAGAATTTAAGAACTTTTTAAAAAAAAAAGGCAAGAATTTGGAAAAAAGCAAAAAATCTTGGCTCTGTGACAAACTTTCTCACTCTTTTGTTGTGGTGCACCGTCAATTCACTTGGCTTCTTTCAAACTTTTCCTTTGCTGTTCATGTCCCGACTTTGGTTTCGGAGCAGACCTGTGGTATTTCAGAGCTTTTATATTCGGAAAGTGACACAGAGGTGTTAAGAGCTCCATGTGCGTTCGGCATTTCACAAGCGTCATTCAGGCGATTGGATTTCAAGCACAAGGGTCCCATGAAACTAGTTGTCTGTTCCGGTTTTTTGTTACATGAAGCTGTTAACTTAACCCTGGAGAAAACATCAGCAGGTGCTTTTGAAGAAATGGTTGTTAACTGGGCAGAGAATTTGTAGAGTTCATTCACCTCGGTTAACACCATCCATATTTCAGCACCAGACTAAAAAGCCTATTTGCCATGCCGGTTTATGGATGATCACATTAGGCTCTTTCCCTGCTACAAGTGGGGCTGCGTCGGCACTGCAGAAATAATCCGGTTCGACACCACTTTGCTCTGATGCCACAACAAACTACATTTCCCTGAATTCCAGACCATTGAGCCATGGCAGTTAAAGTGGTGTCGAAATGGTTTATTTCTGCAGTGCAGATACAGCCAGTGTCTTTCTAAAAACACTATTGCTTTCTTTCCTCTCACACTTTCAGAACCATTCTGGGATTACAGTATCCATCAAACCTTATTGCACATAGCATTTGTCACTACCCTCCGCATCTCCTTCATGACATTACCCCTGCCCTTTTTCCTAGTCTGGCACACACACAAAGATGCCCCCCACAGAAACATATAAGTAAATATAAATATAAATATAAATATAAATATAAATATAAATAATATAAATAAAACCAGTCTTACATTTTTGAAAGGCCTTTTCCCCCTTATGGGGCTTCCTGATCCAACTTTTAGTTAACTGCAGAATTAACTTCAGTAACTGCTCATCGCTGCCAGATGAAGGCAGCAGCTACAGATGTATCTGTCTGACCTAGCCTGATGCTCAGTTTCATCTGCCAGTGATTAATTAGTAAGTCTGAAGTTCAGAAGAAACAGAGAGAGAGAGAGAGAGAGAGAGAGAGGAGAGGAGGAGAAGAAGAAGAATCATAGAGTTGGAAGAGACCACAAGGGCCATCTAGTCCAATGCCATTCTCCCATGCAGGAGCTCACAATCAAAGCATCCTGGACAGATGACAACCAGCCTCTGTTTAAAGATCTCCAAAAAAGGAGACTCCACCATTCTCCAAGAGAGTGTCCTCCACTGTTGAATAGCTTTTACTGTCAGAATGTTCCTTCTAATCTTGAGGTGAAATCTCTTTTCCTTGAGATTTGCATCCGTTGTTCTGGGTCCTATTCTCTGGAGCAGCAGAAAACAAGCTTGCTCCATCCTCAATATAACATCCTTTCAAATATTTAAACAGGGCTATCTGAGATGGCCATCCAGCCTCTGTTTAAAGACCTCCAAAGAAGGAGACTCCACCATTTTTAAGGCAGTATATTCCTTAAAGGCAGTTCCTCTATACTGTCAGGAAGATCCTCCTAATGTTGAGGTGGAATCTCTTTTCCTGTAGCTTGCATCCATTATTCCAGGTCTTGTTCTCTGGAGCAGCAGAAAACAAGCTAGCTCCCTCCTCAATATGATATCTCTTCAAATACTTAAATAGGGCAATCATCTAATCTCTTAACTGTCTCTTCTCCAGGCTAAATATATCTAGTTCCCTAAGTTGTTCCTCATAGGGCTTGGTTTCCAGACCCTTCACCATTTTGATTGCCCTCCTCTGAACACGCTCCAGATTTTCAACATCCTTTTTGAATTGTGATGACCAGATCTGGACACAGAATTATTCCAGGTGAGGCCTGACCAAAGCAAAATAGAGTGGCACTATTACTTCCCTTGATATAGATATTATACTTCTATTGATGCAGCCTAGAATCACACTGGAAGGAAGGAAGGAAGGAAACTAGGAAGAGAAATAATGTCTGATATAAGGCAGCTTTCTATGCTTCTCCATCAGTTTGGATGTTCCCGTAATGTCTCCCCCCACCCCAATACATTTTTCTTTTCAGGATTTAGTTCTGAAAAGGAACATCAACATGAACAACACAACTCAGTAGCAGAAGCCCGCTATGGACAGTGCTGTTTGTCTAGCTCCTGTTTTATCATCAAGAAATCTACCTCTCCAATATCAATTGTGTGCTTTCAAGAGGGAAACCATCATCTAGGACCCAATGCCTGAAAAACCAAAACAAGTCAGCAAGCCTCTTGAAGCGTGGAGGAGGCGAAAGCAAGATTAACGACAAGTCTGGCAACCAATTGAGTCTATTTAATGGGTTATTAAGTCCCTGTGCAGGATAAATTCAGACGACTGGCATGGGATTTCAGGCACCATGACAATGACTTACTCCATTAGCGCAGGATGAGGAAAGCACGAAAAAAACAATGGATATAAACTACCATGCACATGAAACTATGTTGTTAAGCAAATGGACTTTTCGGAGTGTTTTGGTCCAAAGCTGGAGAAGAACATTGCTCCCATCGTCTCCTCTACCCGCTTCCCCCATTAATATTATCGCCAGGGTTTTAAGTTAGCTCATAACAGAATAGCAATATTTTGGGTTGAAAGGATAGGGAAGGGTGGAAAGAAGAGGAGGGAGCTACAAACGTCATCATATTTCCAAAACAGAATGTAAAAATAGGACAGCATGTGGTCTTCATTTTGAGTGCTTTTTAGAAATTGTCATGGCTGGACAATCCTGGAACAAGGCCAGATGGCCAAGAACTACGGTAAACCTAGGATATTTATTTCCCTCTTACACTGTACACTGGAGGAGATATTACTTCTGGAAAGCGAAAGGAATTAGAACAGAAAGTGCACAAAGGCTGTCGGCTGGTGTTTGCATGCAAACCGACATCCTTTGCACTTTCTGTGCAACATGAGAACTACAACATGGTTATCTTTTGGTGTGTGCAAGCTTTTTCCATTCAGATCTTGAGGGCCAAACACATTGCAGAAATAATCCAGTTTGAGACCGCTTTAACTACCCTGGCTCAATGCTAGGGAATTCCGGGAACTGTAGTTTTGTGAGACATTTAGCCTTCTCTGTCAGAGAGCTCTGGTGCCACCATAAACTACAGTTCCCAGGATTCCTCCAAAACTGAGCCAGTGCAGCTAAAGCAGTGTCAAACTGGATTATTTCTGCAGTGTGCTTTGGTCCTGGGGAAGAAAACCCAAATGCATAGACATGCATATTTGGAAAAACTATGCATAAAATTTGTGAAAATAGTTTACATAAAAAAATCATTACATGATGAGGAATTACTTGCAAAAAAAAAAGGGTATTTGGCAAAATTGTATCAAAAATTTAAATACTAGGAAAAGTAGACATTAAAATAAATATGCAGATAAAATTTTGTGTCAGCTTTAAAAAAAAACAAAGTCATAAGTTGATAGAGAAACAGGATAGTTGACAGGTGATTTGAAGGCACATATTCACACAAAACTAGGAATCAAATAAAAGGAAAATTGACAAATAGTAAAGCCCCCTGAATTCAAATCCATCACACAATATATTTCTTATCCCATCCAAATATGAAAAAAAAATCTTATGGCCATTAAGTAAATCAGGATATTTTTATCAATTAAAAAGATAATATAAAAGAATGATGCACATATACACACATATGATAGATGGCCTTTATACCACTCCTGAAGGTATAAGGCTAATGATGCTGAAACAGGTGTATCAGTATGGCCTTCAGTTTGGAGAAAACCCCTTTCAAGATTATTTCCTCTAACATAAAAGAAACATAGCATTAAAAACCATTTACAGATTGTAAATGGTTAGATTTATTTGGAATAAGTTACTTCCAAGTACTTCTGTTCCTTCCAA